GCAGCCACAGGGTGCAGGGGACAGACTCTAATGAGGCTTGTTCAACTGGACAAGGAGTGATGGTTTTAAACTAAAAGAAGATCTATTTAGAGTAGACATAAAGAAGAATTTTTTTACAATGTGGGTGGTGAGGCCCTCTGGTTGCCCAGAAAAACTGTGGCTGCCCAAGGCCAAGTTGTGGAAGGTGGCCCAGCCCATGGCACAGGGATTGGAAGTGGATGGCCTTTAAAGGTCTCCTCTAGTCCAAACCATTGTATGACTCTATGAAACAGCTGGGCACAGCAAAACACTTGGTTCCTTAATAAGGAAGATCAAAATCATTCAAATATTTGTAGGAATCAGTTTTGAATTAGACCATTAGGTTTTGTCCTCCAATGTTTTACTTTCATTTGGTTATGGATGACCTGATACTGAGTCTATTGAGATTTTCATTTAAATCCCTCTGAAATTCAGGAGAGGTTGAATGTTTAAATTAATTTCAACATCTCAGCTCATGCATGAATTTTATTTTTTTTTTTCCTAATGTATCAGCACTTCAGGTGTCAAAAAACCTTTTTTTATTTTGGGAGAGGAAAAAGATGTGTGGATGAGATGAGAGAGGATCCTTGGAGGATGCTGAGGTCAGGTTTGCACTTTGTGTGTGGAGAAGGCAACTCACCACCTTTCTCTCTTTTGATGGCAGCTTTAATGCAGGAGACCCCACAGTGAGCTGCTGCTGAGCACCCTGAGCTCTCTTATCCATGCTGAAATCTCTCCCTCCACTTGTGAACTTTTCCAGGAGTTTAGCTAGCAGGAGTTCCTCCAGTGGCCACCCTCGGGAAGGCAGACGGGCTGGTGTGGCCTGGACAAAGGGGCTGCTTTGCTGCAGGACCACGTTGCACCGCTGCATACCTCACCCCAATTAGCCTGGACCTTAATTGGGCCTGACACGCGCCTGTTGAAAGAGATTCCCCAGGAATTAAAGCGCTACTCCTCTGGTTTGAGTTGGCTGCTGATGTGAAACATGACATGATCTTGGAGAATTTTCTGAGCTTACCATGAAACAAGCCTGCCACAGGTATCAAGTGGGCTTTGTGTTGGGGCTGTAATCATATTACAAATTGAATGCTTCCACATGTGCGTGCTGGCACATCCACCCTCGGCTATCTCACATGTATCTGCCTCAAGGTACAGATGCTGAGGTCTTGACATAGCATAATATGGATCTAAATATATTTTCCAGACTGCCTTAACACATGCTAATGAAAATGAGGAGTAAAAGGCCCACAAGAAGCAGCTGTTTAAAATTTTCTTCAATCCCTGAAAATCAACTTCTTAATTACTGATAATTTAAGCATCAAAATCACCACTAACCCTCTTCTCCCACTAGACCCTCCCAAGCTGGGAGGCCTGCTTGAAGACTCTCGGGCAAAACTTTTTCTTAGAAGTGTAGCATTTCATCAAATTTCTTCAGCTTTTCTGGAATTAATTAGTATTAAAATAAAGCAGGGGAAAGGCAAGTGCCTGCTGGAGGTGCCTTCTCTCAGACCCCCCGCTTAGACTGCTAAAGTTCATTGTACCACTATACTTTCATATTTCTACAGCACCTTTCATAATAAAAGGTTCCCGAAACTTCCCCAAATGGATTTATAGATAAAAATAGCTTCAATTGCTTTTAAAATGTGCACTCTCTTGGACCAAAGAAAGCAGGTTTTACTTCCATCAGGCAAAGGATCTGTGTTCATTCTGGTTTGTGCTCATACCTAGGGGGGCAACCAGTCCCAAGCAAAGTTTAGACAATGGTTGTGGGATAAAGGCTGGCAAAATATTCTGTGAGTTCCTGGATCACTGTGTGGCAGTGGGGCCTCTTTCCAGGGATTATCTCAATGTTAGTCTTGTTAAAATCTAAATTCTGGTATAATTTTGCTGAAAATTGTTTTCCTCTAGCAGCAAGTAAGTCTGAACCAGAGGAAAGAAAATAATGGAAAAGAAGATGTACACAGTACTTTTTCTTTTTTACTTTTTAGTTGATGTTCACCATCTCCCCAGACTTCCCTAAATTACTCTGAACTTGAGTTGAGCCTTTCCTAAAGCTGGCACAATTTTCTGTACAGAAACAGAAGTTGAATTAATTTGGCTCTTGCCAGCCCCAGGCTAGGTGTACTCACAGACCTACAGAGCCAGTCAATGGACGGGAGAAAGGCTGGTTTTGGCCAGGCTGCAGAAAACATTTTCCTGCTAACTGGAGTCCTGGCAGGGAACATGGGCTTTGACATGGAAAAAGGGGTTTCTGTTTGCTGCTGGATACCTTTGTTTTGTTTAAATCATTACTGGAAGCATCTTTAAAACTGACTTTTCCACACCACTCTACGAGTGAGCAACAAAACCACAACTGGGACTAAATATAGCTGGGGAGCACGGTGGAGCCATCCAGGAGCTCACAGTGATCTCCACATGTGAGAGACCTGACAGAATGTCTTAAAGTTCAAAACATGCATGGAGCAACGGGCCAAACTGAATAGCTGAGCAAAAGCAGCCCTGAAAATGCTTTTATAATAACTTCCCCTCCCATTACTCCACAAATGTACCCACTGGAAACAGCAGCTGACACGGGAATGGTGACTGAGACCCACAGGGGTATTGAGGAGCTGGGCCAGGGTGAAATATTGATTAATCATCTTGTCATGCTGGGGCTTCGTTCAGTTCTGTAGATGGGAATTGAGAGGGTAATGTGCAGCTCCTCCACCTAGGAAGGCTGCTGGATCACATGGGAATGATTTGTTGACTTACAGAAAAGTACAGAAAAGTGTGGGGTGAACAGTAAGATGATGCTGAAATAAGCTGAAGGGATTTTTGAAAAGTATTGACTTTTTTTTTTTCCCTTAGAAAAAATTAAATCACTGTAGTAGAAAGCCAGAAACATCAACCCTCACTCAGCATCTGGACAATTGCACCTGTGTGGTCCACTGGGGAGGCTATGACACAAAGACAGAAATTATCCAGTTTTCTTTGTTTACTGGGGGATGAGATGAGTAATCAAATCTGGGTTTGCTTTTCAACTATTCCTCTGGGTGAGCAACTCCGGTACTGAGACAAGGCAGTGAAAATCAAGGGCATGGGAAGGGATCTACACGGAGTTGAAGGATTTGTTGATATTACAGAAATACATTTTGTTCCCTCTGCCCATCAAACCTCATGGGCAGTGCCCATGGCTGGGACACTGTGACAAGAAAATACCAAGTTCCAGACAACTAATGGGAAGATCAGCCCAGGGATTGGTGCCAGTCTCTCCCTAATGGCCACCAGACCTGGTCATGGGCAGGTTACCTAACCCTGAGCTCAGCTCAAGGAGTATTTGTCCTGACAGGTCTATGGTACGTGTGCTACTGTAACCCAGAACATTAAACCCAGGGGACACTGTCCCACCCTCTTTCATCTAGGGCAGGTGAGAGCAGAGCTGATAAGAACTGTCAATGCATCAAATTAAAGGGGAAAACGATCTGGAAAGTTGTTTGCAGATAAAACTTGACTTGATTAATCTATTTGTTCTCTGCATTTGGCAGAAACCTAAAACCAAGTTTCACAGCGACTTTAACTGCACTAAAAATAATAGCCTATTTATGCAATTATCTGCATGTACGTGGTCATTTCCTTAGGCCAGTGCAGTACAGGAATATGTGCACAGAATTTTTTTTTTTTTTCATCTATTTACCTTTTTTTTTCTGGTGGGGTTTAGGCTTCCTGCATGAAAACCATTCCAGTGTAGGTTCTCAGCTTGCCACCAACTTGTGCTGAGGGAGCAAACCAAACAAGCCCATACATGGGCTGAAGACAAGAATGACACTTACAGGTTATTCTGAATTATAACTTAAATATTTTATGAGCTATGAAAGGTCTTTGGGCAGAGAGAGGAGCATCTCAGCCCTTCCATCTCTGCTGATGAGAAGATCAGCAAGATGGGCATTCCCTGGGAAAATGCTGGCTTTTCCTGACATCCCTCCTCCACAGGTTGCCCAGAAGCAGGGATGTGGATCTGATTTCAAAGGCAACACAAATTAAAATGCTGTCTTTTTTCTCCCCGTTTAGACTCTAGAAGGCTCATTTTATGCAGTTGGAGGTTCATTTAGCATCTCAACCATGGATTTTGATCACTCTGGTGAGTCAATATTTCGCTATGAATACTTCTGGCGAGTGAATATTCCACTGCTGCCTCACACTGTCCTCACAAGCAGCAGGCAAGGCAAACCTCAAACTCAGGGCTCCACAAGCGCCTTTGAAGGTGACACTGCACCAACCTCTTTTGTGAAATGACCCAAATATCCCTTTTTTCCAAGGTAGTGTTTTGAAGCTTAAAGGACTTAGCTAAACCCCTCCAACAGTCAGTCTATTGAGAGGCTCTGGCTCGTGTCCCACATTTCATGGCCAAGTCCAAGACACCCCCCAGTGCCCCATCCTCGGGTTTCCCTCATGACCCCACAGATCCATCTTTGCTGCAGAGGAAATGCTCCTTTTTTTTGCCCCAACTCAGACAAAACCAAGACAAAAAGGAAATAGATCCCTTCAGTTTTGTAGTCCTTTATTATTTTTTTTTAAGTTGATCCTCCCATAGTAATGTACTGAAATGCGTAACAGTTACATTGTACAAAGCATTTAAAGATAGTACCTCAACTTGCCGATTATTTCAAAATGAGATTATAAACAAAAGGAAAAATAAATCTGGTCCCTCACTAAAGGCCAAAAAAACCCCCAAAAATAACTGAATACCTTCCGTTATTTATTTATTTTCTTTAAAACATAAATTTGGAACACTTCATATTACAAATAGGATTAACATGAACATAACATCACACAAGCTCGCAGACAACCAGCATAAAATATTGGGTACAGTTTTTTTAATCAGAAGAATCATGCTTTCATGAAGAAATTATAACTGTTTATACAATCGAATCAATTTACCGTATTACAAAAAAAAAAAAAAAAAAAAAAAAAAAAAAAAAAAATAAAAAAAAAAAAAAAAAAAAAAAAAAAGAACAAAACTAAGTCGCATCTATTAGTTATTTAGTTCATTAAAAGGCAAAAAAAAAATAGAAGAGGAATGTAAGAAAATTTCAAACACTGTTTTGCACTCCCATATACACAGATCAGTTCACCTCACTTTTTTGGAAGTACATGGGTGCCTTACATCGTAACGCAGTGGGGGACTGGAGCAGTGCTGTTTGTTACAGGAACAGTGCTATTGTAATCAACAAACAATCGTTTGCCAACAAATAAATACACGGTACACACAACACAAAGGAGAAATTAGGAGGGTAGGGGGGAAAGGAAACAACACAACAAAATAGTGACATGATTGTCGAAAATTAAAAATCTCCTTAAAATGATTCGAACTAGTGGTGCTGTCGATGAACGCGGTGCTTTCACGGAATTATCTGGATGATTTAGCTTCTTGGAGAAGTGAACATTCATAGTTTACAATATACACAAGCCACTTATGTATTGTTTCTCAGAGTTCTTTCTTTTTCTGTCATTTTTTTTTTCTCCTCATTTTTCCTTTTTTTTTAAACAATGCAGTTGAGAAGGTAAAAGAATTACGGAGAGAACAAAATATTCCCTGTTACTTCTTTCTACATTTACGATGATAGTGCTCATTTGATAGAACTATTTTCTTTCTTTGAAGGGCTAAAATGCATAAAGCTTTAATGAAGAGATTTGTACATAAAAGCAACTGTTCCAAATCCTGTGTCAAACTATCTTATACAAAAAGAAAATCAATTCAGTTCCTTCTTTAAAGGAGTGCCCATGTGTGTATCAATGCAGTCTTAACCCTTCTGCCCCTGCCCCTCAAAGCCGGGTGAACTGGAAGACACTTTTCCCCGGCCCCGTTCACATAATCCACTGAAACAATTTATTTTTTATTTTTTAAAGTCGCATTGATCCTCCAGAAATCAGCAGCTGCCTTTGCTGTGCAAAACAAAATATTGAGAATAAATAGTTTCTTTCTTTTTTCTTTAAAATTATTCCGTTTAAGGTCACCGGACTTTAAATGAGTGACCCTGTAGATTTATAAGGCATTCTGCTCAGCAGTCTTTTAAATAGTCATATATGAAAGAGCCATGCTACTGGTTTGGACTTGGTCCCATCCTCGGAACGACTCCGCACTGTCATACGTGGCTGATGGACTGGATGGCGCTGGATTCCGCGGCGGCTCTCGCCATACTGTGCCACATGTTGGGAGAACTGTGGGATGCAGAATGAAGGGAGTCCTTGTCGGAGAGGGAGAGCATCATGGCATAGGCCTGGATGGGGGACAGAAGAAGGACAAGGAGGTCACACTCCCGTGGTGGGGATCTGAGCTTGGACCCGTGCCACCCGTGCGCGGCCAGGGCAGCACTCAGGCTACAGCCACTGGGCTCAGCTCAGCTCAAAAAAACACCCCAACAAAATGCTTTAGGTAAAACCACTGTCAACCCTTTCACTGACACTTTTGACTCACTAATAGTAATAATAATTTCAGCTTTCATCTGGTTTCACAAAGCTCAGAGAGACCTTTGATAGTCGACAAGGTCCCAGTGTCTCCTTTGCCTTCAGATTCTTGGCACCAGAGGCTCTTTTCAAGAGGCTGAGGAATCACATTATCCCTTGTCTCGTCCTGTATTTCACCAAATGTAACAGTCTCCTTTGCTGACCTTTCCTACATGCATACTCTGCAGTTTTTAAAACAGGAATCTTTCAAAGAGGCTAAAAAACCCCATTTTAATTAGTTAATGTTTAGAAAATGGCAAAAAATAGCACAAGGATACCATTTCAGTTATTGCTGTTTGTAAAACATGCTGAGGACCTAGAGAGGTGGTACCATCCATCAGGCTATAAAAAAAATACCAGAAATCCAAGCCAGAGAGAAGATCAAGTCACATCCCTGTGAGGCTGCAGCTAAACTCTGCAGCAGCAGTGTCAGCAGAGTGGGACTAGTTCTTACCATGGCATTTCTGGAGGCAGCAGGCAGAACAAAAAATAGTAAAAAAAAGTAAGAAAAAAGTATGGAAATCCTCTGTTCTCAGGGACCAGAGCACCCTGCCAAGTCTCTGGGGTGCAGTGGGATGTTGGGTGAGCCTGAGGTTTGTGGACATGGAGCACAGCCCTGTCTGACAAAGCTGGAACAACCCTGCCTGCCACACACTAACAGCTTAATCCTGTGGGTATTTGGTGACAGTGATATTTTAACTGAGTTAAGCTTTTACCTGGGATTTGGATTTCCTGTACAACGGTTGCTTGAGGTCCTCTGGCAGCTGGGAAGCATTGAAAGCTGCCAATTCAGCTTCACTGTATTGATTTTCTTCCATTTTCCTCATTTTGAGGCTATCTGTGAAGTGCCTTATGTGGTCCAAAGCTGAAAGTCCAGTCTTACTATACTCCTCTTCTTTATACCTACAAAAACACCATGGATGTTTTAAATGTCAATTAAATGATCCTCTCTGTGTTCCCTCATCTTCTCAGATTTACACATCTAAGCAACTTCCCCCATTTTCACGTTCATAAACCACTCTGCCTCATGGAATGGTGATCCTGAAGTAAAAGGAATTCCCTTTTCTGCTCTAAAGAAAGGGCAGTTGAGTGGGGGAGGGAGAGTTTGTCTCTCTCATGGTGTCCCCACAGCCTTTCTTTCACAAGGCCATTATGAGAGATCCAGGACGGTTCACGGAGCAGATAACGTCTCTCCCATGGAACTGTCTCACCCTGCTTCCTGTCTCACCCAGAACCTCACAATAGCTCCCCAAGCACAGTCAATTTTGCTAACAAGGGCTCCAGACTGCATGAAGAGGCTGAGAGCAGGGCTGGTGCTGACCCAAACACAGAGGCACGTTGCTATTGTGAGTGGGAAGCGGCTGCTCCGGGCTGGTTCCCACGGCAGCCGGTTTGGTGCTGGCACTCTTGTATGGTTTATTGTTTTTATTCCACCTCTTGGGCACACCAATACTCGGAAGGAACCAACCTGCCAGGGGAAGCTTTGCAGTTCATGTCCAAAGTACTCGTTTCCTCGTAATCCTCCTCGGGAGTGCCCTCATGCATGTCACTCGGCACGGGCTCTTTGACTGCTTTCCCTGCCATTTCGCTCTCTTCATCCTCTTCATCCATCATTACTTCATCTTCTGCCTCCTCGTCATCCAGCAGATCCGAGTTCTGGCTGGCTACCATGGCTTTTTCATCCTTAAAGTGGCTGCCATTCATTCTGAAAGTACCAAAACAAATGCAAGCTATAAACACAGATCAGATATGAAAGCTCCTCTTGGAGGCAGATCTGAAAAGCATCTGTCCCAGCAGAATAAAGTGATTTCTGTATTTTATATCTTGCTTAGCTTCAGACATTCAGGCAGCATTGGAGAAAATTCCACTCAGAAATCAGCAGGATGTTACAGCACCATCAGCATGGGATTTTCCTGTTATCCTGCTAAAACTACTGTTCTAACAGAGGCATGTTCAGATAACCATTCCAAATTTTCTTGTGCATTATTTCAGCTCGAGTTTCCAATCATACATAGTCTGGGCAAAACAACTCGCTGACTTTTAACAGAAGCTGTAGGGGCCAAGAAATTCTGAAAATCAGATCTGGCATTTTAAACAAAAAATGACATCTAATATTGCATTCAGAGTTTTACAGTCAAAATTACATGCATAATTAATTTTGCCCACTACCACCCTTCTGGAAGCCATATTGCTTCACTGAATGTATGGATTTCATACATGGGAACCTAAAGGACTTCAGCTAGAGACCTGAAGAGTGGTCTGCAATATCACCTCCATGCTGAACTAGGTTATTGAATTATTTGAAGGGTGAAAAGCAATGAAAAGAAAGGTCATATGGCAATTTAATCGCATTTATTCTTATTAAATGAGTAATTACAGCAATACACACATGGAAAACCATTTGGTCTACAAACTGTTATTACGCTGCCCTTTGCTCTCAGACAATGACTTCTCTTAACTACTTCCTACAGGATTTTTATCAAGGACATAATACCCACGCTGAAGTAGGGGCTCGTTTGGTAATGGTCTCAAACCTGTAGGATTCAGAGCACCTGGTGCTGCACTGTGTCCATCACATCAAATGAGAACTGAAGAAATTCGGCACCGCGGCCTCAACGAACACCCAGCCAGAGGCACAGGGATGTGAATGAGCTGCACCCAGGGGAGCCCCCCCAAAATTCATGCTACCACTGCATCTGCCCCCACCACGTCATGCAGCACAGAGGCCTTGATTCATCTATTGTTCTCATTGTGCAAAAGGTCCTTAACTCTTCCAGGAATACAGTTACAAAAATGGAAACCTTATTGTCCACACGCAGTTTGCTCCAGACTCCGCGTGCTTCAAACTGTGCGGGACAATATGGGATAGACTCAACGCTGGAGCAAGATAAGATGAGCCCTCACAGCCTTGTTGGTGTTTAATATTTGACTTTCTGAGGAGCAAAGCTGGTCTCTGCCACAATAACGTCCTGAACATATTAGAGTTTCATGTATTTTCCGAGCAAATTCCAGCTGACTGCCATGAATTTAGTATTGCATTGAAAAAAGCTCTAGGGAACAGTCTGTCTTTAAAACAGTATCAAAAAAATCTGAGGTTGTGCAGAACAGGGAGAGCTGAAGCAGCCACCTCCCTCTAAGATCATCAGAGAAATATCTCTTTATCATCTTTTATTTAAATAGGCAGAAGTAAGAAATTATTGAGCTCAGTTTGGGCTGCCAACTTGCTTGTTATGCTCAATTGAGGCTGCTAGAAATGAAAGGGAGATGGACTACAACCAAAGTAACAAAAGCCATGTGATTAAGAAAACAGATTCTCTAATTATGCTTTCAAATGCAGCAATTTGCCAGGGATAAAATATCCGTCAAGAGCAGTCTGAAGTGCCAAATTTAGAAAGGAAACACTGCACAACCCAGCAACCTTTCCACTTTGCTGACTTCCTGTCAGAAGACATGTTGAGACCAGATGTGCAAGGAAAAAAATCCCAAGCCCTCATTGCCAATCAATGAAATTTGAATATGCATGTAATCACTTAATCCAATACTATAATGGAGATTGTGTTGTGTCCACCCTTTTTATCCCTTCACAAAGGCATCTAGAAATTGAGGAGACAGCAAAGTTTGTCACCAACAGTAAGAATTTTTTGACGTTAATAATGTAATGCCAACTCAAAAGGGAAAATAATGCATAATGCAACACCAAACCCAAAGAAATATTTGGGGCTCCGTCCCACAGCCTTTTCTGCTTAGCTGTACTTTTATTAACTGAAAATATTTGGAAGTGGTCTCTCTCTGTTAGTTCAGAAGAATTTGAACACCCATATACTTAATAAATCTCAGTAGAAAAGCTCTCTCACATGCTGGGGCACCGTGGACTCCCAATGCCCACCCGCAGCCTCACAGGCTTTTGGCTACTCAGCATCTTTCTTGGGATTGAGTTACTTACAGGAAAGGACTTTCAGCTACGATCTTTCATTTGATCCAAGAATTTAGCCTGGTCTACTTTATTAATTACACGTTTAAATTGCACTTAAATCCTAAGGCTCCATGCATTTAGCCACAGGATGTAGAATTCACCTGTTCTGCTGTGAATGTAAAGAGAAGGAATTTTTCAGCAGATTTAAATCAATGGTGGGAGCCTGAAACTGGGAGCTCCAGAAACAAGCAGAAATGTGTTCACAGATGGAATCTCTTGTCCAGCATCTGCCACTTGGAACATCTTTGTACACAGTGGGGAGGGAATCAACACATTTCTCTTCCTGAGACACCAAGGTGGCCACAGAAGCAACCAGATTCTAAAATAACTCTGGCTCCAGACATCATCAAATGTGAACAACCAGGTCTGCAGACCTGGAAAAGGAGTGGTGGGCACCTTCTGAAGGCAGATCAGACACAACTCACCTCTCCTCTGAGTTTCGGGGGGATTGATTGTTGTGGTTGCTATTTCCAATAAAATTCCTAATTTCTGTGAAGTAGGAGTCTTCCTTGTCATCTAGGATTGCCCCTGTGCTTTCCAGTTCTGAGTGAGGTGAGGATGTTGCAGTACCTTAAAGCAAAACATACAATGTCTGTTGCTGCTCCTTTACATTTTCTATATTTAACCATTTAAATCAAAATGAAATTGAAACTCTGGTTGATACGGGTGAGAGCCAAAAGTTGGTCAGTGTGAACTATCAGCTTTTGCCCACAAAACCAGTAATTAGCCATTATTCATTGGCAAATGTGATTTCCAGCCAAAATGACTTGGTTGCATGCTGGGTAAACCATTTCCATGATTTATCATCGCTTTTGCCATGTCCCTATTTCAATATCTCCCTCCTGGCTCCTTGTAATTCCAAGACTGTCCACTGATAACTGTCCTTCAATGAGCAAATGGAACCTAATTTTTATCTATCAATTATGCAGATTTGTTCAAAATATGGCGCAGCCATTGACAAAGCCACCGCAGTTCATTAGCAGTGAGAGACCAGTGTCAGATGCCTTTCCCTGAGCACTGGGGAAGGGACAGCTCTGCATTCACTGCATGCCCCTGGTTATCTCCATTGAGGCCAAATGCAGACTGAAAGGATTGCAGAGAGGGTTTTCATTCAATCCTGCAGACACCCAAACCAGCCCAATGACATCCCCTCCTGCCACTGCCTGTGCTGCTTCTGTGCAGTGACCAATTTGTTTTGGGGCTTGAGAGGCACCATTAGCTCCATAATAGCCAGCGCTTTTCAGCTCCTGACAGTGGGAATATTTCAGAAGGTGCCAGGAAAATCTTTTAGAATGCCCCCTGAGACTCTAAATCTAGGACTCCTATTGAGAGCCAAATGATTGCAGAGATGGGATTAAACCAATTTTCCCAGTCTGCTCTCAAAACCTTATGGGTTGGCTTAATTAAAACCAAAAGAAAAGGCATCATCCACTGGTCTTAAGTTATACAAGGGGAGAGTTTATGCTGGGATTTTCAAAGCACTTTAAATGTCAGCAGAGCTTAGGCACTCACATATTTTGCTACCCCCCAACCCTTTGGAGCAGCTTGTGCCTGTGGACAGGGAAGGGCTGACAGGGAAGGGGCAGTCCCTGCACATGGGATGTGGGGCGGGCTGGGGAGGGAAGAGACAGGAGGGAAAAGACAGAACATACCAGACATGTTCCCGTTCTCGTGCTTTTTTAGATGTCTGTCAAGATTGGTTTGTTGACCAAAACACCTGTCACACAAGTGACACTTGAATGGCTTCTCTTTATTGTGGATGTTACGCACATGTCTCTGCAGGTTAGAGGATATGCTAAAGGATCTGTCACAGTATTTGCATCTAAAAAAACAACAAAACAAGTGGGTAGGAAAGAGCTTGTTAGTTGTTGGAAATGTAAGATTTGTCCTAAAATACATGAAGAGCCTTCTGGGCTCAGCCTCAGCACCCAACCACAGTTCCTTGCTCCCTACTGAGGCTCAATCCTCCCTGACATAAAGACAAATTTTGGCTAACTAGAGAGCTCTGCTCTTAGACTGGAGACATAACTTCTATGATGGGGTTTTCAGCTTTAATTCACATTAGACTTTATATTTTAAATGCTGCCTCTAGGAATGAGCATAATATTTTTGAGCTAATGGCATCAAATTAGCTATGGTAATTGAGTCCCATGTTTTTAAAACTGTTGCACGCAAAATTGGGAAGTTTGAAAACAGTAGAGCAATAACTTTATTGTTTCATGTGCTGCCAATACAATACAATTAAACACTTTTGGAAAAAACATGAAACAGATCTCTTCTAATGCTCAAATAAGGTAAAAAGGGCTATTTCTTTTCCTATTCTAAATTATACTGTGTGATTAAATCTTTTCTTGAGGAATTAGCTTGCTTGATTGCTAATCCCAGAGGAAATTCGGTTATCTTGCAAAAACCAGCAATAAACAATCCCAACCTTTAATACTGTGCCAATGTGAGTAGTTTAGTCTATCACTCTGGTACCAGAGGCATCAATTTTCATACTCTGTAGTGATTTGGAGTCCCTAAAGCCTTTACTGTATTGCTCTTTAAGCCATTACTAAGTCATACTATAACTATTCCAAATTCTCTGGCTGGCAACTAGCCAAGAGTCTTCACCACTTTAGTTTTTTCAATCTTTTACTTCTCCCGTGCCTCTCTTACACTTGTCAATGATGTAAAATTTTTTTTAGTGCTGAAATCACCCATTATGCTACTAATTGCTTGTGGCTTTTATGCAGTGGACGGGTATAACATGCATCAAGACCTTCCTTCAATAAAATTAGATGTGAATCTCATTTCCCAAAGAGACTAAATGCAAAAAACATATTATTTCCTCACAAACAATGAGCTTACTCTGCTCTTTACAGCTCATAAAATGCAGAAATCTGTGCATTTGTTTTACTGGAACATGAACTGGCCTCTTTCCAGTTCAAATTAGCTTTTCATTTTCAATAAGGTGAAGCTTTATACACATTTCTGCATGTGACCATCCTGGATTCAGTATTACACACATATTCTTATCAACAGGAGAGTACCCACATGGGTTTTGGTTAAGTAGACCTCAGAAAGGATCCAGATTAGGCAGGAAACAAATAAATACAGTAATGCCTTTGCAACCAGGATCTTTCAGAAATCAGATGACTGACAAATCACCCAAATTTAGGCTGCAAATAACACTGTGGAACTCCAGTAAAAAACATTTTTGCAAGGGAAAATATGTCCATGAGCCCTAGTGAACATCACTTCAATCACACTGGTTCAGCAGTGCCAGCCACCCTGCCAGCAAAGACAGGACTTAGGGATCGTGTTGGGAAGCTGCCCCAGCCAAAATAACTTCACTAAGACTGAAACTCTCCCTTTTTCTGCAGCTCCAACCCTGAGGATCAGCACAAAACTCTGAGAACAAATTGTGGGTCCAAAGCTAAGGAGGAAGGGCTGGAGCTGGTTCAGCAAGGATGTTGAATTCCCTGGCTTTATTTTCTCTGCATTGGAAGGGACTCTAAAGCTTGGGCACAGCACAGGCAGGGTGAGGGGTGTGGTACCTATAGGGCTGCTCTCCAGTGTGCGTCCTCAGGTGACGGGTCAGGTTTGCAGATCTTGGGAAAATCTTGCCACAGTATCTGTGATAAGAAAATGATAAGACAAGACAACCTTCAGTGGCTTTGTCCCAGTTTGAGCTGCACTGGATGCACAGCCCAAATGGAATCATCATGGTATGGCCCTATTGGCATGGCTTTGGTGCAACAACATCTCAGTAGAAGCATTCAGCAAATGTAAGGAATCCACACACACAGGAGTGGGACTGGAATGGCTGGCACCAACCAGCTTCGCTTGTGCAGAAGCAAGGGTTATAGGAAAAATCTCTTTTAAAGATCACCCCAAGGTTCCAAGCCCACTGGGTGATTATCAGCCTCATTCAGATTTGGAATCAAGAGAATCTGTTATTAAAGCCTTGGATTTCTGCCTCTGTGTAAGCAAATTTCCAATCTTTCAACCAATTCTACGTGTCAGCAAATGTGACACCATTCCGTGCATTGAATAGGATCAGAGCAGACAAGACTCAAAGACCTAATCCATCAAGGTATGTTTCTATAACAACATGTCTTGAAAGAAGGTGACATGTTTTCAAAAAGATCAGATAAACCGATATGCCAGTGTCAAACGCCTGCACATTCTGGAGATGATATAGAGACCTAAGCAGTGCAATTTAAAAACCATTCTCCAAACTCAATAATATGTCACAGGAAAAATAATGGAAAAAAAATAAAATTATCGTGAGTTCTCCCCCTTCATTCAAGTAGCATATTAACATTCAGTTTATAATTGGCCCATTCTGTTGAGGACATTGAGCCCATTTTTGCGTGGGGGCAGAGTACACACAGCACTCTCTTAAGTGAATGAGGGTGGTGGCTGCTCCAAGCAATGACTTTGAAGATTGCATCCCTTCACTTTTAACATCCCATTTATTTTTTCACAACGTGATGTATAAGCCTTCAAAATACCCGCACAGCTAATTCCACTCTTCTGGACAAAGCTTCCATTCATTTTGGGTGCACATTCAAAGACTATCTTCATTGTGGGTTTTTTTTTTTAAGTCCATACACACAAGTCCTAGTAATTCATGTATTTTATCACTGATCCCTTTGGATATTAAAACCAGAAGCCAGAGAGAAAACACGTCTGTAGTTTATGATCAAACAAATCAATTATGAAAGCACACTTTTATATATGAAAGTGATGAGAAAATTTGGGAAAAAAAGAATTGTTTATATAACAATTTCCACCTCATTTATCAAAACCGCTGTATACAGGGTGATGCCTTAGGATTTTGCTTTTATATTTTTCAAATCCTGTAGTGCTTTAGTGTATAACTCTCAAACTCCATATAGACTTTTAGCTACTGTCTTCATATTTGGTCAGACAAAACGATGAATCTCTGGGCCTGAAACTCAAGGAGAAGTGTAAACAACAGTGAATTGGGAGAGGCAAAGTTGGAGTAAATTACTTCATTACCTGAAACTGTAATTGGAGGATTAACCTCTGGTATGTAAATGGACCAAACTTATAATTGTCTGAAAAACTTTTGACCCCTTGGGTGTAGCTTCTGGGAAGCTTCTGACAGCCCAAGGTGTAGCAACTGAAGGCCTTTAATAAATACCTACTTTTATTCTCTTAATCTTATCCAGTCTCTGTTCTAGGCAGCCACTCCAAGGCATCAAGGGAGAGCTCTTTGTTTCGTAACACCAATAATTTATTAAACAGAATCACAGAATCCCTGGGTTAGAAGAGACCTTCAAGATCATCGAGTCCAACCCAGCCTCAACACCTCAAGTAAACCCTGACACCCAGTGCCACATCCAGGCTTGTTTTAAACACACGCAGGGATGGTGTGTTTAACCACCACCTCCCCGGGCAGCCATTCCAGAGCTTTATCACTCTTTCTGTAAAAAACTTATTCCTAATATCCAACCTAAATTTCCCTTGGTGGGGCTGTGTCCTCTGGTTCTGTCGGTTCCTGGAGACAGAGCCCAACCCCAGCTGAGCACAGCCACCTTTGAGGGAGTTGTAGAGTGGTAAGGTCACCCCTGAGTCTCCTTTTCTCCAGGCTGAGCACCCCCAGCTGTCTCAGTTGTTCCTCACAGGACTTGTGCTCCAGCCTCGTTGCCTCCTCTGGACAAGCTCAAGCATCTCAACATCCTTCCCAAACTGAGGGCCCAGAGCCCAGCACAGGGGCAGAGAATGACCTCCCTGCTCCTGCTGGCCGCACCATTCCTGATCCAGGCCAGGAACCCCAGAGGGAAAGGCTGTCCATGCTGGGCCCAGCTGTGGGATGGCAGAGGGGAGCCTCGGGGCTACCTGCAGGTGTAGCGCTCCTTGCCCTTGCGCAGCAGCGTCTCGGGGAGCGCGCTGGGCGGCGCGCGGAAGTTGAACATGGATGGCACCGACTGGATCAGCTCGCTGGCCTCCGGCTTCAGGGCGCTGAAGCTCTCCAGCTTCTCGGCCATGTTCTCTATAGCTGACACCTGCAGCAGGAGAGAGCACAGAGCCCACCACGGTAAATAATCCCCTCGGGTTTCTGCCCCCACCGGGAACCTGGGATGCAGAGAACATCAACTGACAAGGGAAAGAAGGAAAGGGAAAAAACGCCAGGGTAGAGATGCAGTCTTGAAAATTATAGGTCGTGAGGGTAATTATCAGCCAGTGTTAATTTCTTCTTATTTTTAACTCCCAGCTTCTATAAAATTACAGATTTTGCAGTCATGCTCTGTGGTAGTATGCCTACAAGTCTATGCATCCCATCTACAAAAATCATTGAATATTTATTACCAAATGAACAAAAATAATAACTGAATTTCTAATTTTATTTTTTGTTAAGGACTCACAGAAGATACTTATTGCAGAGGAAACCTTATGAACATTCTAGCTCAACAAAGGTCTACAATAATCCAGATCCAAAGAGGCTCCATCAATGCCCCAGCCACATCCAGCTATCCAGTCCAGTGTTTTAGCCCATCATAGCCGAAGACTCTATTTAGATAAAGACAGAAGAAATGAAGCTTTGGTGGGTTTGGTGCTCTGTGTTCATATTGTCTGTTAGATGTCTATGCTGTTTTTCCATGTCTTAATATTCTTGCTCTACCTTTAGTTGCTTGTAACTCCTTTGTGCTTTGGGATGGCTCCACTCTTGATTAGCTGTCTGTAATTTGCAGGGAGTGGAGATTAAATAATTTCTGGAGAACAGTTTCCTTTAAGCTGCCTGGAACTGACCATGGAAAGCTCCTCCAAAACCTCAAACATTGCCACTTGAAGAGTTCAAGACTGCTGCTGAGCCTCCTGACAGGTGAGAATAACCATCTACCTCTCCATAACACCACAAACAAATGAAAAAAAAAAAAAAAAAAAAAAAAGCCAAGCCAACCTGCAGAGCACAAAATCCACAGCATGAGCCCTGTGCAAGATCTTGCTTGTAACAAAGAAGGAAATTATATGAAAGACAAGATGTTGAACCCTTCTCAGCTGGAACACCTCCACAGACTGTTCTTCAAAATCCATAAAAGGCTCCTCTGATTGTTGGAAAATTGAAATTTTAATTGGAAGAACTGGGTTTTTTTGCAGGTTTATTTATTTTTATTTTCATTGGCAGAATTACACGGTTGTCTCCTGGCATGACTATTTCCATGCTGGTTACCTCTGCCTTTGGGCTGGGTTGTTTTTTTCCCTTTAGCCTGTAGCCTGCCCTCTCATTTCATGCTCAGATTCCTAATGCCGAGTACAAATTGCAACGTACAGGGTACCACTGCCAATTTGCCAAATGTCTTTCATCAAACACAGTGAAAAAAAATAAAAAATCTCAGAGGCAAGTCAAGATACATTTACTTGTCAGGCAACAAATGTGAAAGCATTGCGAGGCAGCAAGGGCTGTAAGCTCTGGGGTTTGATTCATAATCACTCAGCTGCTAAAACATTCTCCACAGATGCAAGTGGACAGCACATTTGTCAATATGAAGGATTTTGACATGTACTGATCACAGGCATGAGATATGTAATGATGATGCTGCTGCGAGAGGAGGTAATTCTATCTCAGCACTGAGATGTCATTATCAACCCATACACCTCAACATTACCATATATTTCTTTTTATATGACTTCATATTCTCCTTTAGTTGGAATTGATTTCTAAAGCTTTTAAAATAGTTGTTCCGCTGCCTTTAATTCCTTCTAATTGCTCCCCACAAAAAAATTCACTCATCTATTTTACAACTGCTGAAAATAAATGGTTTGAATGAAAAATGCCCTTTGGCCTAAGGGCTGATTAGCAATGACAAGACAGTGCATGGGTTATGATATCACATATTTATGGTGAAGAATAATAAGGGTACTGAGAAGTATAATAAATGTTTTATTTATGTATATTTAATATTCAAGTCCATTTCATTATCTAGTGGGTTTAAATCATTTTTGGATCACAATTTCTCATGCACATGGTGCCTGTCAGTAATATATTAAAGAAACTATTCTCCCCTTTATATTTAAAATGGCTTAGTCATGCTGATTTTTTTTTTAGTTCTTATTTCCAGGATTTTGCAGAGTAGAAACTGAGAGAGACTCTTGTTTCATGCACAGCAATGCAGATCAGCTCTACCTCCAACACTGCCTCCAGGATTACATCAGTCCCAAAATAGGTATGAAATCAGCACCTAATCTCAAATCCCTCATCCAGAGGAAACACGAGCACTTCCAATTATTTTAAAGCATTACTTGCTTTCTATAAATATGTTTCTCACCATTGGAATGACTATTGTGCTTGCTGTTTTGCTGTTTAGGGTTTTTTTTAAAGCCTGACTTCTGTGGTGACCTGGTATGATTTATGTTTTTCAAGAACTGCACCAACGGGAAGTGTTTGGCCCCACAGCTTTGCTGATCCAAGGCACTGTCACTCCACTGCTATCAGGACAATTATAGCTGGTACTATCTGCTGCAGTTAGGGTCCCAAGAACCAAAATTGGGGCATTTTCTTAAGCAGTCCTGGAGTGTGTGGTGCTCAAGATGCAAATCTCTGTCGTGAGATGGGTTCCTGGGCTGTGGGGGCATTTTACAGCTCATGAAATCCTGCAGCCCTGATCCAAAACGTGCTGTCCATCACCTTCAGTGCAGGCAGACAGCCCCTGCTCACCAGTCTGCTTGCAAAGCACCAGCTGAGCAGTAAGAAACCCAGGGGTTTTGCACTGAGGACGCATTCAAACACCAAAACCAAGCAGGAATGCTAAACCTGCCACGTGAGCTTTTGGGAGGTGGTACTTGGTGCCAAGCAGGGGCTCCAGGGGACACACAGGAGGGTGGGCAAGGGACAAATGTCCCCACTGCCACACACCAGCACAGGGAGGTGCAGGAGCATTTACTGGAGCTTCAGCTCTGTTACAACATTGAACAGCCATCGGCTGCTGCTTCCATTCACCTGGTAAACCTTCCCAAACCCATTTCTATTTCTGTCAAGGAGAGTTCACCAATTTAATTAGGTGCATATGAAAAGATACTGGCTTTTGTTCCTTCTTAGCCTTTTGCCTGATATTTTTGTGGTTTTTTGTTTTTGTTTTTGTTTTTTGGTATTGTTATCACTAATGAATAACCATGCCTCATTCAGGTTCTGCTCACCATTCATGGGCTCACAGAGCTGGGGCACAGCTCCCTCAGGCATGTTTTTCCCAGCTGAAAAAATCAAAATCTACTTAGCTTCTTTTTGAATGGAAGCTGTTCCCTACCTGTGATCATCACTGTTGCATATTTCTGTGCCTTTTCTAATTCTGCTATGGCCTTTTTGAGAGGAATATCAGCTGTATTCAAGACCTGAAGCCATAATGATGTTTTCAACTCCTTTCTGCTAAGCACTCAGGTGATATTTTCATAAGACTATCAACTTCAAGATCTTTTTCTTCAATGACACAAGTTAAAAGTCACACTTTCCCCATGGTTTTAGGGGTATTTACTAACATTAACTTTTATGGCTGTTTTAATCCTAGTGACTCAGCTTTCTCTGAATCTTCTGCAGAATCTTCATAGTCCTGGATTTGGATACTCGCAGTCACAAACTCTCTGCCTGCTCACCCTTCTTCCTATGGAATTTACAGACATATGCCACAGTTCAGAGCCCAGTGACACTCCAAGGTGGACCCACTGATAATCTTCAATGATTGTAAAAATCACTATTTTGCTCTTCCCCTCCCCCCTCTCTCTTTTTAATGACTAAATGTTAACCCAGGAGATGACTTTCCTTCTTCCACAATGAACCTCCCTCTTCCACAGCTGAAACACAACTGAAGCAGCTGCTCTTCCTTCCAAACACTGTTAGTACCGATGGCAAAGCAAGACCTTCCTCCACAGGAGTTGTGTTGGCCATGGAGATGCTACTCAATCCACCAAACTCCTGGAGAGAGGTGTTTCCTGTCCTGGGGGTTGGGTGGCTGCTCATGGTGACTTCCCCTCTCCAGGGATGGTCCCTGGGACCACCAGGGAGGCGGGTGTGTGGCTAAAGCCACCAGCTGTGCTTTCAGGGGGTTCTGCACCATAGCCCAACACCCAAGGGCTGTGGCTATCCCCGAATGGGGCACGGTGGGGGAAGCACTGCCTGGCCCAAAGGATTGAATCAGTGGAATTGCCATGCCCATGGAGAAAGCTCTCTGAGGAGGCAGGAGAGGCAGAAGATCCTATTACATATTTTGCATCCAGCTATTGCCTTACGGACAAGTCATGTGCGCTCCTAATCTGCGATCGGTGAATGACAGTGTTTTATATAGAACAGTAACTTTTGATTTACATATATAAGAGTTGTTGATTCTATCTGTGTCCAGATGTCTGGAAAAGGAAGCAGCTTTCCCCCACCTCCCTGAGAGGCTATTAACCTCCGACTGACGCAAACTAATGTGCAGTCACAATTCCCCAGCTCCAACTCAAAAATGCAGACATTACCATAATCGGCTAAAACAAGTATTTATAAACATTTCAGCGGGCAAGATATCATCAGCAGGGGCCTTGAGCATTTGTCTTAAAATTTATTAACCAACCCTAGAAAAAGTGGCATAAATAAAGTGAAGGTCTGCTGTTGCTGCTTTTTAAGAATAACCTGATGATATGAAATAATCTCACAGATAATGTCATGAATTACTTGACCTCCTGTTTGACAAACGTGACTGCTTCATTGCTACTATCACAAAAACAACTGATTTTATGGCCGGACCTCATGGGAAAAAAAATCTGTTCAAGTGTTTGCTTTCTATTTTTACTACTGTTATTTGGGGAACTCTGCAAAATCCAACTGCTAAAGCTCAGGATTTCTCCCTCCCCCAGCTGAAGTTATAATGTTGCCTCTAAAATCTGCAATTTGTGAATCGTGCTGTCTTGAAACTGCATGTATTCGGACAGCCAGCCCTGGAACTTGGCTGAGTTATATTCACGTTCAAGAGACCTATCACATGTGGCTGAACTTTATGAAGCAGTAGCAAGAAACTCCTTCTGATCTGCAGTATGGCTCCAGAATAACTGGATTTGTATGAATCCAGTTGGTGGGGATTAAGCTCAGTTAACAGAATGGATCATGCCCTAAAACTCTGCCCAGTAAAACAAAATCTTTAAGGCATCCACCAAATTCCTTTCCATTTATTTATACAATTGTTTTAATTATTTACAATGGTTCGTCCTAAACAAATGCTGTCTGCCTAAAATTACAGAACCTCCTTAGAGCAACCTTCTCCTGATGGGACCAAAATGGCATAAACAGATCAAATTAATCCTGATCCATTCAAAAGAGATGCCCATTGATTTGCACCACAGGGCTCCTGCCAAAGAATGAAAAACCAATCTCAAATAATGTTGAAATATGTGGCACATGCAACTGGGGATTGAGATGGAAAGGCTTGTGTGACATAACCAAATCTCTCAAAGTGGAGCTTCATCCATGAATCAGCATCCTGCTCAGTCACTGCTTGTTTTAAACACCTATTGCTGCTGGAGCTGCTCAAACCGTGAGCATGGCCAGGAGACGTACGCTCACAAAAGGAGCAGAATGATGGAAATTTGAGGACTAAGCCAAAGTCGAGGAAATCAGACAGAAGAAACAGACTTCACTGGGTTTTTCCACTTCCCAAACCTGCTGAAGCAGAGCCACTTTTCTCAGAGCAGAGGATTAAGGGTGCCTGGGCCAAGTCACAAATCGTGCTATGGCCCCTTCATGTCCTACAACGAATTTCCCAAAGAAAATATTTGGGAACCACCTCCTCCCTTTGACAAATCTAACCCCACCTCCTGCTTGCTGAACTCCTGCAGCACCTCTGGGTACCCTCAGGAGTCGTTTGGTGCCTGCTCAGCTCTTTCCAACCCAGGCTCCCAGAGCATCTCTGCAGCTGCACAACACAGCTCTTCCCAGAAGAAAGTGGGATTAAACTCCCACAAAGCAAAGGTCCAGCACTGCTCTGGACGTGTGCCAGGGAGGGCACGGAGCAGAGGGCAGGGCTCAGAGCCCAGGGGCAGAGCTCCTGCAGCAGCCCCGTGCAGGGACACACAGCAGAGGAGCACGAGGAGATCTCAGCGCTCGCCCTGCAGAATTCTGGCTCTGCCTGGTGAAACGAGTCCAGGAGCAGCGAGAGCGAGGAGCAGCAGTGAGTCAGGAGCCCAGCCCTGCCTCCTGGCTCCAGCTCTCCCCTCCAAAGCCCAAAGGTTGGGAAAATCTGGGACGAGCATTTTTGGGTTCGGCGCTGCAGCTGAGGAGCCAGCAGCGCGAGATCAGAACACGGCGTTTTTGGAGTTGCATCTGCAAAAGCAGTTGCTGTGGTTCTTTTTATTTTCTTCCTTTCTCATGAACAATTTAGATGTATTAAAAACAAGGTTTTATAAAAATAGAGGAGAAAGCCCAAATTTATCCCATAGCACAATTCATGTTCATGTAAGGAGGATGATGTAAGTATACACAGAGGACAAATTTGACCTAAACACAGAAAATAAATAGGTGTTTTACTTCTGCTTTAAGCACTGCAATGAGCAATTAGGCTCAAAATTTCAAACCTATTAAAGTGACTATTGAAGTGACTACCACCGAAGTCAAGTGAGAGAAAAACATAAAAACCTCTGAGACTCTGTATTTTAATGCAGATTAAATATTTATTAACTATTGCTATCTAACAAGATTTCAGCCTGAAAATTTCACTGCAATCTCTGAAGGAAAATGGCTTGGAACAATTTCAGTCATATATAAACAAAAGACTGCATTCTGCAACCCTCTCTCAGGTAAAGCTCCCATTGTCTTCACCAAACAAAACCAGCAGGATCAGGTACATAAAAATAAAGCCAGTTTTTCATAAGAGCATATTTATCTGCTCAGCTGTAAGACCCTGTAGGAAAGAGTGGCATGCTCCATGATTGAGAGGTAAGTTATCTTTCATATTATATTTTTCTTATGCAATTTATTTCACAGTGATTAAATTAAAAATATAAGCAATGAACTTACCCAAATTCTTTGATCAGGAAATTGGAACTGGGAGCAAAATTGAAACAAAAACAACACATTATTCCTGCATTGGAATCCTTATTGCAATCAATGTACTTACTAAGATTTTATTTAAAGATACTGATTAAAATGTTGTTATGAATGATTTATTGGACAGAGTGTTCTCTCCCTAAAAATTACAATCTTTGTAATGGCAAATTACTGTGGAATGCCACTAAATAATCTCATTTTCATAGCCTTTGGGCACAGGGAGGAATTTTACCCTGCCAGGGACAGGATACAGACTTCAGGGTTATGTCTGTAAGTTCTATTTCAAAAACCTATTTGAAATATCCATCTGTTTGCTGTCATATTATCTAGTTAAGAAATAATAAATTCTTGGTCCCTGAGATGGCAATTTTCAGGAATAAATTCAACAACAAAACCACAGGCTTTTAGGACATGAACAATAAGTTTGTAAATATTTTAAATCCTGCCAGCAGAAAATGAAAACTCGTGGAGCACTTCCCACCTGTACTTTTACAAGGGTGAACAGGACTATAAAGGAAAAACAGCTTTTCTGGAAGCCGTTCCCCAGCCCTCTATAAATACCAAGCCAGATTCTGCCTTTGCAAACAGGAGGCTCCTTTCTGTTCCATTAAAGTTTGCAAGAAAGCATTATGACATTTACTTTTTTGACAGGATGTGTGCTGGTGGTTTGGTTTTCTTCTACAATGTTCCTTAGTGCCCGTTACACTCCTGACCTCTGCACCGATCCAGCTCACGCCAGGTTACAGACATCATCCCTCTCACTCAGGTCAGTGACAGAACCAAAGCCAGGCTTTGCCACAGACTTTTTATTCCATTGCACAGTGAGAAATGTGGAGGAGGGGGTTCTGCAGAGCCTGCCCTCCCTCCTGCCCCACCTGGGCTGGCTCTGCCATGGGGAGGTGGCACCTGACACCTCCTCCTCACACTGCCACCCTTGGTGACAGCACTGGGACCTTCCTCGGGCACCAACATGAGATTCAACAACATCCTGGGACAAAACACAGAGGGTGGAAGCCTGACAGCATTCCCATTAACAGGGAAATGCCCAAAGTCTCCATTTTATCCCAACCTGACTCCCAGTTCCCCAGGTAACTCAAGTCACACAAAAGAACATCCAACTCCATAAAAGAATACAGAAAAGAATATCCAACTCCACAAAAGAATATCCAACTAATTTCCTGCCCACCACAACCAAATTCCAAACAGTGAATTTTACCCCAGCAGCCCCTTTCCCACCCACTGACCACCCCACCTACCACTGGCATCTGTCCAACCTGCAGCAACACCTTCAGAATCCCCAGTTCCAACATCACTGAACCACTCTGAGTTACAGCTTCTGAACAGCTAGAGAGCACTAAGCAAAATAATCCTGCTTTTTCCATCAATGCACTATCTAAAATGCCCTCATTTAAATAATTTACTCATAATTTACATATCCTTAGCTGCTCTAACAGAATCGTTGACTTGATGGGGAGGAACCAGCGTGTTTCACAGCAGGGACAAAAAGCAGATTGAGGTCCTTTGTGCATTAGCACTGTCTGCTACTAGAGGGGAATTTTCACTTTTTTTGCCAATTGGACAGATTTACCTTATTTAAGGTAACTCAGCAGGAGGTGTTAAGCTGCTATTAAACCTTGCACATAAATTCTCAACGATTTTAATACATCTTAAATTCTTATTTAATGCTTATAAATACCTACATAATGCCATAAATACTTATGGCATGTAAATACTACTAAATACTTTCATACACAATCCAATGCTTTGTTCAAACATTGAAATTGGTAAGGCGTGTTGTGCATCTGCAACCATATATGCTTTCAGCTGGTTGTCCCATTTCTGCAGAAATGCCATGTTTCAGAACATATTCCATGCAAGTTAGGACATAATCATTTAGGACTTCATTGGGAAAAAAAAACCAAGTGGTAATTGGGCTGTTTTGCTCAGGAATTCAGAGGAACCTGAACTAGAGACAGCAGCTCATGGTCTTTTGCTTAAAATACAGGATGTGTAGAAGGTATCATTGCTAAGATGAAACAGCCCACAGTCTGCAAGGAGTCCAAATTTGTAAATATCACAGAGGATTTTATTGCAAGTGTAAGATTGAACCAAGATTTTTAGCAAAATCTCCTTGAGCAAGGAGGAGGAAGACAAAACGAGGACGCAGTGCCGGCGAAGAAATGCAACGTGTAGTTTGCACACAGATCCTCTTCCTGTGCCACATACACATCACAGTTGTTGAACTGTTTTGGGACACCCTCCTAAATGTTTTTCATGCAGGATTGTGGTGTGTGACCAAGCGAGCAGCCCTCATAAAGTCTCTCTTCAGGACTGGAGGAGCAGGGATGCTACCCACCCTGCAGCCCACAGCAGCTACCAAAGAAACCGTGCAGCGTTTGCACCATGAGGCTTGCAAACAACAGGTGGAAACTTTTCTCTCTTTTATGAGAGCCCTTAAACAAAATAAAATCCCTTTTAAAGCGGGCTGTTCAGCTTTTCTGGCCTTACTGTGAATCTGCTTGCTCAGAGCACAGGAGGGAGCTGAAGACACGAGTGGCTGCAAATGTTGGTAGCTACGTTATGGTTTTGGAGGAAAATGGTTCTAAAAGACACGCTCAGTTCGAATCTGGCTTCCTCTACAATCAAAACATGTTGTTTCATCTGCAAAACATCAAGAAGCTCAGAACAATGCTTATGCTTTTCCATCACAATGGTCCAGCAAAAACTGTGTGTTTTAGGAAATCCAAAAATGACTAAGACTGCATTCATTTCTCTGCACCTGCTTTGAAGCATCAACAGGGTTGTTTACAACATCAAAATTCCCAAAATACTTACTTGTGGATGAAACAAGAATCCCGGGGAAGGTCTCAAGTATTTCTCTTTTAAAGCTTCCAGTGGGTCAGTTAGCTTTCTTTTTTCTACTCTGTAAATGTTAAAATTAGATTTGCTTGTGATGAATCAGTCTCAGATATTAATAATCATACAGTTACTCAGGTTTAAAACAGGCAATTACATGTCAAGCAATTTGTTCCTAGGAGATAACAGTAAAAGATAAGGGAGGACCCTCAAATCTTGATTCCCACACACGGCTCATTACTGCCAGGGTGGGGCTGGGAATCACCTTTAAAGTAGATTATACCATTTAAATAGGGAATAATCCCATTTCAAAAGGTTGATAATGTTTATAATAGGAACCAATGACTAACTACCAAGCACTTTTATACAGAAATTGGGCAACTGAGTACGCTCAGCACTAAGAGGAGAGGAATTCAAGGCAACAGAGCCTTGAGCAATGGGTTCCTTGCCATCTGTCCACACATGACACCACAGCCACCACCCTGGCAACCTCCCCTGTGCACAGCCAAGGTCAAGCAGGGCAAGAAAGGTGGGCTTGTAGGAACACACTGACTCGAGGGTGCCAGCAACAAATCCTGCAATTCACTCATGGCAGCAAATCCCAGCGTGGACAATTCAGAAACAGCATGGAAATTTGAGGATTTTGCTTTTTCTGCTACTGATGGGGATGGTTTCATGGATGAATCGTGCTGTTCATGTGTAGAGGTAACTCATGGCAAAGGAAGGCTCAGTAATAACTGGCCTCATGCTGTGCTGCCAGAATTTGCACAGATTTCATTAAAATCATAGAAATGTAGGCTCACAGAATGGTTAGGGTTGGAAGGGACCCTAAAGATCATCTTGTTCCAACCCCTCTGCCATGGGCAGGGGAGTTTGCAATGCAAGTTAATTAGTTGGTAATGCAGGGCCATAAAACATGGATCAGTATTTCCGCTGCTTCAGGCATTTTAAGTGACTATGACGCAAAGAAAACTTATGGTCTAACACAGGTATCAATCTGGCATGAATAAAACCATCTCACTAAATAGCATCATATCCTGTTTCTTCATAATGCAGACTTCTTGTCTTATGCACCAGCACTCTCCACAAACTTTGCCCACAGCATTTCTTTTTTAGATAAAGTAATAAATTAACATAATTTACATGGCAGTATCCTTTTTTTAATAACAAGAGGCTGTAAAATCAGCCATTTATATTACAGATGAATATTTTTATAGCTAATATTTCTCTAAACTAATTTAGATGCATGACTTTAACGTGTTAGAGATATAAGTGCAGAAAGGGCAAAGGGGGGCTGGCACACACAGGATGCAGGTGAAATTCACATCCCAGTGAAATCCATCTCAGTTCTGTTGGCAAACACCAGAGGGTCTGGATTTTACCACTGTTTTTTAAAATCTCAGCTCACTGACAGCGTGCATCTTTTAAAGCCAACAATGCTCCCACTGATTTCAAAAGGTGGCCATGGAGGGGGATCTGCACAGCCTGGTGGAGTGGAAGGTGTCCACGGCAGCGGGGTGGAATGAGGTGAGCTTTAAGGCCCCTTCCAACCCAAGATTTTCTGTGATGATTCTAAGGAGCCCACTGCTGAGCCTTTGTGCACACAAGGATGCTGTGCCTTCATTTCTATGAACAAAATGCCCAAAGAAATCAACCCAGTACTCAAATAATGGTAACAAAGGGCAGAAATCATTCTCAATTCCCATACTTTTAACACATCTTAGGGCCACTGTGTTTCTTTGTTGTGAGAAACTCCTCTCGAATGCAAGAGGAGCTGGCAAAGTGGAGTACAAGGGGTACTCCAGGGGAAGCCAGAGGAGGCAGAGTTTTGGAAGAAAATGAACTTCAGGCAAACCAGTGACATCAAATACAGATCAAATAAACAAGCATTCAATACTGATGCAAACTCAGAGAATATATTCAACCCCTGCATGAAAAGCTATGCAGGTTGAACTAATAACTAATAACTCATGGCAATGAGGGCTTGCTAATTGCAGCACTGCCAGTCCCGTGGCTCACTTGGAGCAGCTGGGATGTGAAGGAGGCATGTACAGATCAGCATGTGGCCTGGGCCCCCATGCCCTGGCACTGCAATGGCACCTCCAGGGACACTGGGAGGGGGACAGGGTGGCAGCCCTGGCAGCCCTGGCTGCCTACACCGAAGGATGCTCAAGGCAGCAGAGAGTTCTTTACCTGTATATGGGATCCATAAAGAATGGGGTGGGCCTGGCGTGCTGCAAAGAGGACTCTGAAGCTTTCCTCTGCTCGAGGTCTCCTCCTTTCTTCTCTCCAAAGACGTGGTTTTTCCGAGGCTCAGCTTGCCTCGTGCTGCTGGCTCGGCTTCGGCTGCCCATGCTGAGATCCAGAGGCTGGTCCTGGCTGGATGCAGAGGGGGCTGCTGGCTTTGAGGGGATGGGAGTAAGTGGCTTCTCCTCCTTACGTTTTATGGTGAGGTCAAAGGGAGACTCAGAGCTTCCCTTTGGGATCTTCTTAATTTCACTGGGTGATTGGGGCTCCACTTTCAAGGGTAACGGTCTCAAGTCTCTATCAGGAAATGGATACATTGATTGAGAGAATGCTGGAAAAAACGGGAGGGGAAACATGGAAGGGTAAGGTAAGGCTCCGACTTTTTTGTCTTGCAGCCCCACAAGTCCTGTTGAACCAAAGTACTTTTCAGCAATAGAAGCAATAGCCTTTATAGAATCATTCACCGCTCCTGACACCGCAGTCTGCTCCTCTAAGGATGGTGAGAAAATGGAATGATTGCTGTGGTCTTTCTTATTATTTATTGACGCCAGGCTCTGCAGAGAGCTTACTTTGTCTTTGAACATCTTACCATTTTCTTTAAATTTCTCTTTCTCACTTTCAATGTCACTTTCCAGATCAGAGCCCGAGGTGGTTTCCAGGTCACTGCCACTGGGGGTACTGACATCGTCAAGGTCAAGGTCACTACTCTCTGACTGGTCACTGAGTTTCTCATGTGGCCTCTCTTCAGAGGACCCTTCTGGTTGAAGCTCCACTGGCTTATTCTCCCCTACTGATGGTTGTTTATTTAGTGCCTTCAAAATATCCTGGGTGGCTGGCAGTATCTGAGGATTTGTCATGAGGGGACTTTGGCTTTTGTTTGTCTGATCTGCGCTCGGAAGTCCTTTAACAGGAGAACTAGTAGGTAGCAAAGGTGGCCTGTGGTACAAGCCTGAAGGAAACAGACCGGGGAAGCTAAAAGAAAATCCAGGAGCTGTTGGAAAGGTAAGACCAGCAGGATGCCTATTGGCTCCAAAATAGTCAGCAAGGCCCGGATTTGCATGATTCATATTAACCATGGACGTTTTATCCATAGCTGGGGTTCCAGGAAGAGAAATGCCTTGGCCAAAAAATCCTCCTGCTGCAAAATGGTTCTTGCCCTCACAAAATCTCCTGTGTTTATTTAAGGAAGACGTAGTGCTGAACATTTGTCCACAGTCTTTGCACTTGATTTGGGTTCTGCAATCAGCATGCATGCGCTTATGACGACAAAGGTTTGAAAACTGAGTATAGGATTTATGGCAGACCTCACCTGTATGTAAACAACAACAACAACACATCTCAGGCTTTGTGGTAATTGCCCCCACCCTCAAAGTTGTGCAAATAATACCATTTTTTACCCGCCAAATGTCAATGAGGAAGCGAGGTCTAGGTGCACAAATGTATAAAAGCAACTGTGCTGTCCAAAGCAAGGATCCGAGCAGACAAATGTCAGAAGACAGCAACCAAACCCACTCCAACCAAGCAGAAAAGGTCTGGAATCACTAAAAGACACACTCTCCTCATTTGCTCTTTGCACTGCACAGTGCTGCATGTTCAATACCATTATTCCACGTTGCATTAGCCTCCAGAGCCCCCCACGTGCTGTGACCCCACATGAACCCACAGTGCTCCTGTGTGAGAGCACAGGTGTCTTCAAATGGCATCCATTTATGTCACTATTCCCATGTGGAATTAATCATTAAAATAAATATTTGCAGGACCAGACAGAGATGAAGCTGCCTCACAGAGCTTTCACTCTGCAAGAATAGGAAAGAGGTGAAGGAGGAGACAACCAGGTATTTCCTATTTCCAAGTATAAATGCAACAAACTTTTTTTTTTTTTTTCCACTTACAATGAAAAATTTAATCTCATGGAAGCACAGGCTGGAACCTGGAAAACCTCAGTACTCTCATATGTCCAATGCATTTCTATTCATGCAATGCATACAGTGCTCACAGGTGCCTGTAACTCTAAATTCCACATCTTAACTTTCCTAGTCTTAATATTGTTTATTTGCCTCTTGCACATGACAAGATAGATTATATTTCAACAACAATTTCCTTTAAGAATGAAACCCTCTTTATTTGCATGTCTAACGCTCAGTAAGAGCCTGATGAATTTCCTTTCATTCCTCTGGGATGAGAATGATTTCAGTCTCACAAATGCAGCATTTGGGAGAAGGTCTGGGAGCACACAGGGGAGCAGATCTGCCTTGAGGTCAGGTCCTGATCTAGCCTGTGACACTCTGCACGCTGTAGCTCAGCTCCCAGCAACCTTCCACAGTGGCAGGAGGCTGGAAATGGTCCCAGTGGTGCAGAGTGAGACACTAGAGAGACACTCACGTCACTGAGGCAAACAGGATTTTGCAGGCTCCTGGTTTTCTGGCTGCTACAGACCTTAGGGAGCAAACGGGGGCAGCAACCGAGTTAAGAGGCTGTAGGTAGAAGCGGGGTTTGGAAGAGGGCAATGCTTAGCTCCCCAGTGACTTTTTATGCCCATTCTTGGCATCTTTTGGATGAGCAGGAGCATCCCAAGGCTGTGCTGTGCCTTGTGCTTTTCATTATGCCAAAATTTGTTTGTACCTCTGCACTACCTTGCTTCTAACAGTATCAGCTCCAGATTTGTTTGAAAACAACCATTATCAGCAAACACTGTTATCCCTGCAACAAATCCCTTTTTTTCTTTTTTTTTCCCAGCCTGAAGAAAGCGTGTGGCCGCTTTATTTTCTATTTAATTTCTGTTCTATCATAAACTCTCATCTTTCACACATCAAAGCCACACAACAATGCGCATTGTGTATTCCGAGGCCTTTTTAACAATCATTTTCATGATTTGAGACAGTCTGACATAATTTACAATGGCTCTATTTTAAGCCTGCGGAGGAAACTGAATTGAATGTATCCCATCCTGCACTCTTGGTTCCCATGAACTGCAATCACGTCCTCTAACTTCCACTCGCACCGGGGCCCGCGCTAACCTTCCTGCTCCTCCAAATCCCTGCCCTTGAGAAACTCCACCACTTGTTGTCATCTCCTGACTGTTTACCTCTTCAGCAGCCTGCTCCCTATCTCACCAACAATGCTCCCATTGTTCCCGGGCCTGATCCTGCCCCATCCACCCGTTTTTCCCCTGTTCACATCCCACGCTGACATCCCTGGGACAATTCGTGGGGTAAACGGTGCAGGATCGGGCCCAAACACAGGAAGTTTGCAGTGTGGTAATTCAGGAAGGAGGTTTGTTTCTGTGTATCAGTTACTGTTCCTGCTGGAAATCTTCATTCACAAGGAAAGGCAAGAAAGAAGAGAGCGAAAATCAAAAATCAAGCGAAAAATAGACAGGGGAAAAAAAAATGGAAGAGATAGAAATAAGAGAGACAAGAAGGATGAAAGGAGATTATTCTAGTTTCTTGAAAATGTTTGGTTTTCTCTTGTTAAGTAGCTTTTGTCCCTTTAAAAATAATTCATTTGCCTATATAACATAGATTTTTTATTTAACATAGAATTATTTATCATTCATTTTTGCTTTGATTTTTTCTGCAATTTTCTCCTATTTTTAACCTAATTCCAGGCATAAGATTTCTGTTCCACACTCCAGGGTGCAGAATCAGGCCCCTCACCGTTTACAGTAATTTCCCCCAGCTCCCACCACACTGATCACAGAAACCAAAATTAAGCTGACCCAAATGGTGACTCGAGTGTTGCATCCATAGGTTCACACAAGCTGGATATTATGAATCTACTCCTCTCCCATGTCTAAAGCAGGATAGACCATATGCATTTTTCCAGAAAAAGAAATATCTCAAATGCATGCATTTCCAAGGATAGGCTATTGTAGAATTTAAAAGAAATCATGTTTTATGAACTTTATATCTTCTACTGAGGTCCTGCTTCTTATTCACATGGCTTTATTAAAGATAAGGCCTTGATCAGGTTGGCTGGAGTGGCAAAGGACTGAAAAGAGGGTTATTGGCACAGATTAGGTCTTCCTAAAATCTGGAAAGTTCTCCCATAAAGAACAGTGGTACATTACTAAACTATTATTCTCCATTAATATATTCCATTGTCAACAAGAATATATTCTTGTTCAAGAATATTATTATATTATCCAGAATATCTCTCTCTATGTATATATATATTTTATTATAGATCAAGAAATATTCTACTCTGAAGAAAAGCAAAAATATGCACTTAAAATTTTAAGATATCCTTACAGGCTATTAAGGGAGATGCAAATTAATAATTTGACTAAATGCGTTTTATTTCAGTTTTCAAACTAAGTTCAATTGATAATGGCAATACAGTAAAATACATAAATATTTATTATTATAATCTCAGCAAACAATTAATGGCCGTACCAACAATTTGTCTTTTCGAGCACTGAAATTATTTTAAGCTATTCAGTGAGGCGCTGCTTGCTCAAGATGCCTCTTGCATTCAACATTCTATTTCATTTTTAGGGCTGGCAAAGAAATTTTGTGCCCAGGTGGCAGCCCTTGCACCCTGGGGTACTCTTCCTCTTGGGGACTGTCACCTGCAGCCTGGGTGTCACAGCATCAGTGACGGGCACACCCAATGCCACAGGGACTCTGGAGTCCAAACTGTGTCTAAACTGACTGTGACACCTCCATGGGTATTCCCAAGAGCCAGGACTCCTCAGATAAATTTGTGTTTTAAGATCTGCCTCCTTTTCATCATGAGACTTAAACTTTAGTAGATGGGGGGTGGTTATCGACTTTAATTGTTTCCATGTATGAAAGCAACAGAAGCTGGGTTTGATTTCTGCTGTTACACCTTATTACAGCCTTTAAATCTCACTGCCATGCTTTTAAGGAACTAACTTGTATGAGAAGCTCCCTTCCTTGCAGCTTTTACTGTTCTACGGACTCCAGGTTTAACACAAACCCCCAAATATTGCACAAAATTAATCTCGTGCCTACGCACTCTGTACGGTGATTGTCTCTGAATCCCAAATTAGCCAGCAGTTAAGTTTGCATATTTTCTGCTTATTAAAAAAATTACTGTAAGTACTATTTAGAATCTGTTCAGTCCATTATGGCATGTGGTTTCTATTTGGGGAGGCTGGAGATTTTGCGAAGGCAGTGAGTAATTACCTTAGTGCTGGTGAGTTTTCACTCAAGCTTGGGCGGCACACTGTAATAAGAGACAGTTGCCATAAACAGAGTGGTACGAGTAAATCATGGTGTGTGGCCTTCTGGTGGAAAGCAGATATCTGCTCTAGGTGACCCTACCTCATTCTCACAGCTCAGCAAAGCTGACCAAACACGTGGTCTCCAAACCTTTTTGTTCTGCAATTACATGGCTGTTATCCGTGGGTTGCTCCATGGGGTTTCATCCCTTGCACTACATGTGAATACCAGTTGTTGTTTTGATTTATCAGGAAAAACAGCAACAAAAAAGCATTTGAGAGATTATTTCATCCATGAGAGCTTCCACTTAGAGATTTCTATGTAGGACATTGCAATAGGCCTACCTGAGGAGTCCCTACCTAACCAGAGGTTAGTTTCTTAATAAAGTTTAATCATTTAATCTGCAATCAGCTTTAGAAATTATTAGTAATATTTAATATTGGATCTATTATACATTTCTCATTGAAGGAATCCAAAACAAAAGTATTACTAATTCAATGGCAGATTACAGATTTTGCACAAATGAGTTGCTTAAGTCAATACTCCTCCTCTTGAGGAAATATATTAGTTTGTGGCCAATGCTTTTCACAGGTGTGGTGCAGATGTTTCAGTAAATTATTGTTGAGAGCAGCGAAAGATTAAAAGGTTTAGCAGACAAGTAGGGGAGATGGTCAAGGTACCTTTCAAGTCACAGCAGGTGCCTGAAAAGGCTGTGGTGGAGAACAGCATAACCAACAATACTTTAAAATATTTTCTGCACTACCAACAATACTTTAAAATATTTTCTGCCTCTGCTTCCCCAGTGAAAGGGAGGGAAAGCAACCTGCACTCTTCCCAAACAGGGTCTGGCTCAGCAGCAAATGCAAGGTGCCCATTTAAGCCCAGTACAGAGCCAGGCTCAGATCCAAGGCCAGTTTTATTGCTGGAGAAGCTGTTAGTGAAGAACTTACAGCTCAACTCGGTCCTTAAACTTGGGGCTTGCAGAGGAGCCTTGAAGAAGGTAGCAAGATGAATCTCACAAATCTCTGAGATTTGTTTTCAAAATTCAACAAAAGTCATGGCATCTGCTGTGGATGCTCTGCAGCCCAAAATCTGCTCCCACAGCAGGAGGAGCAGCCAGCTCAGCACGGTGCAGAGCAATGAGGGTGCAGCCACCAAACCTGGCATGGCCCCTTCTGGCTAAATCCCACTCCTCACTTTGCATCTGTGTGTAGAAAACCATCCCCGTGACAACAGGTACATTTACACAGCACACAGTGTCTGTCTGAAAAGGAAAACCACATGAAAATAACTCCTTGCATTGGACCACAAATCCCCCAGAACTCATTCAGTAACTCCCAGCCCTTGTGTGGGGAATTCAAAGGGAGCAGAACACAACCTCCTGCTTCCAGACCGCGCTGCTTCGCGGCAGGAGAAACAACACTGAATCAAAGACGTTTCGTAGAAGACTTACATATAAAAGGTTTGACACTGCTGTGGATGTGTTTATGCTGTTTGAGGCCCGAAGAAGTGGCAAAGGTTTTGCCACACTCTGGACAAGCGTGAGCACGAGCCCCCACATGCTGGGAACGAATGTGCCTCTGAAGGTTGCTGGGGTCCGTGAAAACCTGCTAGGAAATGAGTACTGATTAACCAAGAAACTTGACTGTGGAAGAAGGCAGTTATTACAAGAGTCTTTTAAAATTCAAACCTTGGAGCTATTTTTGGGAGCATTCTAAAGTTAAAATCCTTGCTAATGGCCAGCAATGGGAGCTGTGCCTGCAGGAAGGGGCCTCAGTTTCCCAGGATCACCCAAGTATTGTGTGGGTCTGTTAACCCCCTTTGCAGCAGAAACATTTGACTTTGCTGTTTGAAATTGCACATTTGAGGTTACGGATTTCATGGGAAATGAGTGAAAATGTGTCTGCTCAAAACCTCAAATGTTACTGCAATAGAAATACTTTATACTGATACCTGAGTGTGTGCAACAAGTAATCCTGTACACAATTCAGAGCTAGAAACCAGGGCTTGGTTACACCTTAAAAGTGTCAGCTCAATGTGAAATTCCCAATATTGCAGCAAATCTACCTAAACCCAATTAAGTCCTCATGAAAAAGGGCCAAGCTTTGGAAATCTGATAAAAAGCAAATGCAGAGTACCACATACTATACGAATAATCCCCACAGCAAGCCCAGTGCTGGGAAGTGATGGAGATGCTTTAGAGATGAGAGTTGTACTCAGTGCAGCTGGAGTGCATTGCTATTGCTTATTTTTGATTTATATTGCAGTAGTGTCCTGAAGGTTCTGGTCCCAGCAGCTGACACACAGCCTAGGGAGTCCTCTGCCTTGTGTTTCCCTGGGGGTTCTTTCCCCTCCTTGACCTTACACCCCACCAACCCTTTCAAGAAGCCAAGCCCTGAGCTCAAGAATGCTCAGCATCATGCATCAGTGCCCATTTCAGACTCCACAGCCATTTCCAAATCAAAAGGGAAAGAAAAAGAACATATTTTCAAAGTAGATGTGAAAACCCTTGAGAAACCATCTGGAGCACAGCAGAAGCCCTATGCCCTCCTGCATCCCAGCCTGGGGCACCCCCACTTCCAGGCTCCCCTGCATCCAGCAGCACAAGAAGTGCCAGGCAGCCTAAAAATTCACTGTACCTTGGCACAGTTCTCACACTCGTAGTGCTTCCCGCTGTCGTGGGACATTTGGTGACGTATCAAGTTGGACTTCCAGTTAAAAGCTTTGGGGCACTGGTCACACTTGTACTCCCTCTCCTCGCTGTGTGACAGCATGTGCTTCTCCAGGCTGTGGAAACAGGAACAGGGCTCAGTGAGATGTGGGTTTATAGGAAGAGGAGAGAGCAGAGCACACTGTTACAGCCAAAAGAAAAAAAAATTAAAAGCCCCAAAGGCCCAGTCCTGACAGAAATGAGTCCTGTGAGTTCCAGGCTCACCCCAGCCAGAAGGCAGAACCTCCCTCTCCCCACCAGAATAACACATCCTCTCATGTTTTGCCAGCCACTTGCAAATGCTCCAGGAGATGCTGCTGCCATCGCTCCCCAAGGAGATTATTTCATACAACTCTCAGTATTTCACTCTGGTAATTCTTCCCTGCAGTCTGAATTATTTCTGCCTTATGACTTTCCCTCTAAACACACCTTGGATGCCACCACCTGCTGTAAATCCACTCCTTTGATGGGAGTCAATTTTTCTTACAGCAGGAATAGATGAGGAATAACTCCTCTGGAGTAGGACAGGACGAGTTTAAGAAGCCTCTAGATAAGGTACACCACAACTGAAGTTATTCTTGATGATTAACTGTGTGCAATTGTGTAGTTGTTTAGTCATTTCTTAGTGTTTTATTCAGTCTATTTATTAGGATATTCAAAGTTCACCTAAATTCTGTTGCACATCTTTAATTTTTGTCTCTGAATTTTTATCATTCATTTGTAGCAAATATGCATTTTTAAACAGCTGTATTGCTTGGTCACATACAGAGTCATAACTCACACCACTGCTTGAGGGAAGGTCATTACATAATGCAAGAGTGGATTCACAAAAAACCCACTGGAAAGAGGAAATTTTAGCCTGGGATGCCCAAACTGTTTTCACATGAAGTTCCCACTGATCTCTGCTGAATCAGTGAACCAAACCTGCTGGAATTACAGCCTTGTTTGGGTTGAGCAGCCCAAAAAGCAACCTGCATTCTCAGCCACAGGCAATGGAAATGCTTTCACTTTGCAGATACTCTTACTTGTACCCCTCTTCTTCTTTTGGGGGGTGCAGGAGAAAATAATTCTGCCTTTACCTCCTAATACTTGTATAACAATTGACTTTCCATCACGTAAACAAATATGCCATAAGTCCTAGAGAGATTCTTGTCCCTGGCTGTGGCACCAGCTCCCAGACTGGCCGTCAGCACTGGGCACTCCTGGGCCCAACACCCCCATCTTCCTGCTCAGCTCTTTCTCCATGTAATTACTCACAGCCTCAAGCACGGCTCATTTGGGCCCTTTGCTTCATATAATCTGGATATAGCACACTTTGGCACTTTTTGCAGTGAACTGTCTGTGTGGTGTATGAGCCTTTCAATAATTCAGAAGTTCACAGAACTGCTGCATTCACCCTCATTTTTCACTCTTTCTCAGAGTATTGCCCATCTATTTATGATGACTTGTTCTTTGTTTTCTGCTTTTTCTCTTCAATATTTAATATTTTAAGCTAAATTTACATTTCCTCAATGATTCCCATATGTTAGATATCATCCTCTCATTCACAGGGAGAAAAGAACTTTAACACTGAATAACTCCCAACATGCAAAAACCTCACAGACCAGAGTCCTGCCCCACCCAGGCAATTCTTCTGACTTGATCTTTCTCCATCAGCCCCTTGGAATCAATCCCTCAGACTGAAAATCAGATACATGGAGCCACACACTGCCCAGCATCAGCCAAAGAACAAAACCTTGTGCCTGCACAAATTCCTGCTCAGCACGGTGACCCGTGCTGGGCAGGGATGTTTGGCACACCATGTTTCAATTTCAGTGTCATCAGTTTTGTCCAAGGGCAAGGATCATCCACTGATCTGAGACACCCCATGTGATTCTGGGGTGAGTGCTCCATGGAGAGGAGTGAAGGAACATCTCCGTTTTAGGAGAGAGGGCTCCATCTGCAGAACCAGCACCTGGAGCATCCAGGAACAATTATCCAAAGGGACAGCTCATAATATAAGGTCCTCACTAAGGACTTCAAGCACAAGGAGCAAATTTCTAATTTCTTTAGACTCTATTGCTTTTTATACCATAAACCACCAGGTGGAATGAAAATCCTGCTCATCTTCACCCTTGGTTTCTGCAGGAGGTGAAAGTATCAGGTTCTGATGCCCTGCAGGATCCAGCTGAAGCCATCACAGAATCTGCCCCATTCAATCATGTTTTAAGCACCTTCTCCTACCTTTGTAAGTCTGGGAAGACCTGGTCACACTCTTTACACTCCTGGATTTCATGCACGTCCTGAAGGTCATTCTCGTTCTCCAGCTTCTTCTGGAAGTCCTCCTCCACCATGGAGAAGGCGGAGTGAGGTGTGCTGCAGGGGAACTTCTGGTGGTCCACCAGCTCAGCCTTGGACTCAAAGAGCTGGTCACAGTCCTCGCAGCGGTACTGGCGCTCCTCTGCAACACACAGGGGTCGGGCACAGGGACACCACCTCAGTTTTCACTCATCTTTAACCACCCCCCCATCAGAAGTTGGAGGATGGTGTGGTTAATGAATTGCTCCTCAATTAAAAAAATGAGAAGAACCCCAAAAGAAAGAAGGATTCCTAAGAATGCTTTATAATAATGCTTTGATTCCACGTTAACTGCCTGGGTGACATCCAAAAGGAATCCCTAGCACCAGCTTAGGACAAAAGTTTAAAATACCATCCTAAATGGAATTATACAGGGTCTAACATGAATATCCAGCAGAGGCTGCCAGTCTCTGCATTTCTCAATGAAATGGGACTGACTCAGACACAAACACCAGCATCTAAAATAATCAAAAGGCTGTTTAGAGTTTTTAAAAGCCTTTTCATTTTCATCACAGTCTGCAGCACTCAGCCCTGTTCAAAGTAAGCCAGAGACACATGAAGTTAAATTATTTGCTTTAAATTCAAAAAAATTGGTCATAATTTCTTGCTGGAAAGTGTAGAATATCAGCAAAGTGTTACTTTGGATTGAGTATTGCATTCCCTTAATTAGTAATTCCTGCAAAATAATAGATTAACTGAAGAAAATCCCCAAAAAACAAACTTGAAGAAGAGCATCCCACAATGTTTGTTTTGTTTTGTTTTTTTTTTTCTGCTGTTTCCTAGTGTTGGTCCATACAAGGAGCCAGACACCCTGGTTTGGTTCCAGATATAAATGCCCTGAGGCTCTGAGTCAGAAAGGCACTGGCTGGAATCCCCAACAAATGTTCTTGGTTGCTACTCGACAGTTGAGCTGATCCAGAGAAAGTGTCATGGGGCTCTGCTCTTGGCTGTCCACGAGCAACACTTTGGCTCAGTCTGCTTCTAAATTAGCCCTGTGGGACATGATCCTGCATGTGACTGCAGAGATTTCCTCTGGTGTCATTTACACAATAGCTACTTGACCATGGGACTGGGCAGGGAGAAGAGGTGCTGGACAGGGGACACCTTCAGCAGTAACTAAACAAAGTCACCACTGTGGGAAAAAATTCAAACACAAAACCAAATGGGAATGAATGTGTAACCCCTAGTTTTTTCTTAAAAGAACAAGGAATACTACTTTAAATGTACAAGTAGTTGCAAGAAAGTGGAGATCTTGATAATTCCTGCCCTGCGCATTGTCCCTGAACCCCTGAAAATTTGTACAATGTCCCTTGGGGCACAAACTGCCAACATGCTGGGCATTAAACAGATAGCCCACACCCAGTTCCCACTGTGGCTGATAACCCACTGCCCAACAGGCAGCACAGCTAAAGGAGATTTTAGATGGAGACTGGGGGACAAATCTGAGCAACAACTCAGGAGTTTCAGACAAAGAATCTGTGTGTGGGATGAGTAAAAGACAAGTATGATGAGTAAGAATGGCTGAGATGTCCTCAGAAGTGACAGCAATACTGATAATCTCAGATTTCCTCTTCTCAAGGTCACAGTTGTTTGGCTAAATGACAAAAAATAACCTATAACCAGGGCCCATGCATGTCCTGCAGGAGCAGCACAGTCTTGAGATAAGGACATGGACTGTTGTACTTCTTTTGCAACCCCACAAAACCATCAAGTTTCAATCAGGAACAGAAGGGCAGAAGATGGACAAATGCAACCACAGTCCAGCTCTCCTCTCTGGCTGCAGTGAAGCCATCCCAGATTTCAACACAAGAAAAAGTCTTCCTGAATTCTGGGTTAATTTCAGTGATACTTTCTGTCAGATAAAACAGTAGGAAGAGGCTGACCGTGGATGTCCGGAGCCATTGTTTCATGTGAATAATCTTCACTCTTCATGAACAGTAAGAGTTCCTCTCCTGGTTCAATATCTGCTACCACTCTGTAGAATATCTGGGAAAAAAAAATAAAGAAAGAAAAAGCAAGGTAAGTACCACAACAGGCAAAGAAGCACCAACTCCTGCTGGTGAGTGGGGAAGACCTTGTGGCCAGAGCCTGCCCACTCATCATGTGCTGCTGGAGAGAAGCTGATTGACCATGGCAAGTCTGCTCCTTCCAGCCCCAAAGCCGTTGTGTTTTGGGCTCTGTGAGGATAAAAAGGACTGTTTTCAACAGCCTCCGCTGCAAAATGAGCTTTGTGATGGCTGAAGATATCACCAACAACTTGTCTGCTGAGTTATACCAAACCAAAGTACAGAGCAGCCATAGAACACATCTCTGAGTGATCCTGGTAAGAGAAGGAACTCCTGTTGCACTGGGAAAAAGTACTAAAGTAACTTTAATTCTTGTACTGGATTATCTTGGATGTCTTTTCCAACCTTAATGTTCCTATAATTCTAAAGCAGACATGAGGAGATGCTGCTGGTTAAACCACCGCCATCCAGCCCCCCATTCCAACCATCTACACAGTCCAAAAAGATGTAAGGAGAGAAGCTTGTGCACCTGGCTATTCCTTAGCTTCAAATGGAAACCAAGGGAAAAATCAGTCCTGGATGAAGAAATACCATGAGCATCCAAAGCTGCTGGTGTGGCCCTGGCTGGTGACACCTTGTCCCTTCATACAGGTGATGCTGGGTTGTGGGAAGGAGCCCTTTGGGGTGGCAGGAGGCTGTGGGGGAGAGAAAAGGGGACACCCTCCCTTGGTTCTGTGCACCAGAGGAAGCACATGCCAGCACCACGAGACTGCTGAAAGGAAATTCCCAAAATCCATCTGGCTGCTTTCTGTCTCAGCAGGAAACATGAAGAGCACTAAAAAGCTCCATGAAGCAGTCAAATAAATATTAGTAACTTCCTCGGGCCTTGTTAAACAAAACCACACGACAGCTATGTTTCCTATGCTAAAAAATGATGCCTTTGCTTTTTTTCTCACACTAATGTATTTTTAAAGGGTTTGCTCCCAAACTCTTGACTCTCAACACTCATTGCAGTGCACGGGGAGAGAGGCAGCAAATCATCTCCAGTGTTCAAAGTCCCACAGGTGAGCTTGTCACAGGTAGGGGCAGGTGTCTGGAGGTCCGTGGGTACCTGCGCTGCCCGGTCCCACGAGGGTGTCACCCAGGGTGGTGCTTTCCCTGCCAGGCTCATGCAGAGCATCGCCACCAGCACATACCGGGCTCCTCCAGGAGGTGGCCGTACAGCCCCGTCCTTTCTGCCGGCACAAGCCTCAAAACAGCGAATTTGGATGCATTTCCTCAGGTTCGGAGGGTTTTTCCCTGCAGTTTGTCCCAAAAGCCACTCCAGGGAACAGTGCAGGGGGTGGCAGTGGAGGCTGCTGGGGCAGCTCATCCCACACCCCAGGGCTCACCCCTCACCAGGTGACAGAAGTGCTGGCAAAACACATCAGGCACAAGGTACCAGTGCCACAACCCCCTGCTTGTGGCCAATTTCCCTCATAAAAACCAGGAGAAGGAGTTTACAGGCAGTGTGATCCACCCTCCCTCTCATGCACAGCACCACCATCAAACCCCCAGCCTGGGCTGCTTGGGCTCCCCATTTGTATCTCTTGTGAGGGGATTTCAAACTCCACTGAGCGTTTTGGAGGCCAAGAGAGCCTGGCAGTGTCCTGTGCATATCCCTTCATGCAGCCAGGCAAGTATCTGGTACCACAACCTCCTGTGGATCCAAAAGCTGCTGCCAGTGCCAAAGGATACAGGGCTTCTTGGTGGGCTTCAGCGTGCTGGGGCTGCACTGAGGCAACACAGCTCATCCCACCAAAGGCCAAAACACATGTAAATGGAGCCAGCTTTTACCTCCTGCAAATAAACCTGGGGACAATGCCACATCCAGTGAATATTTGCTGCAAGCAATGCTTGGTTTTCCATTTGTTACGATGAAGGTGTTGAAAAGTGGATTTTCAATTCCAGAAGTGTAATGGCTTCTGCATATCTGAAAGGTAAGCTGCAGTTGGATCTGTGGAAGATAGGCCCAGTTGCTGGCTGGTTTGGGGTGACAATAATGCGTGGAATAATGACATGTGCACACTGACTGAAAAGACTTCTGGAGACCTCCATCTTGGGGTGGAAGCAGAAGGACAGGACACAGAAGGAGCAGCACACAGCAGCCAGGACTCAGAAGGACTTCCACCATCCCAGAGGGACCATGCCAAAGCTTCTGCTCTGCCCAGGACTTGCTTCTTTTGTCAGCTTTGTTTCCCAGTCACGTAAACGCCGCTGTTGTTCCTGGGTTGGTTTTGCACCCACACCAAGGAGCGAACGAAAACCATGGCAGAGCCTTCTCCGGTATTTTCCCTGTGCCATCAAAGGTGCCTGGACAGACCTTTTCACCTCGCCTCACAGAGGGAGGACACATGGACTGGGGCATAAAGAGGGTCTTGTTCACAGGCGCTGTGCTCTTGGGGCAGCCCAGGACGATGCAGCATCTTTGCTGCAGCTGCGGGACACATCCCTGAGCAGGAGCAGACTCTGCAGCCAGCTGGCTTGTCTGCATTGGTATTTAAACATCCAGAGATGATCCACCTACCTACCAGAAACTGCCTGACCAACCTCTCTGTCCCTCAGCAGGGAAACAAGATGAGTGTTTCAAAAATCTCCATTTTTTAAGCTGAGTAATGTTTACTTTGCATCTCAGACCTAATATTCTCCAAAACAAAGGCTGAGTGACAGATTTCCAGCTCCAGCATTTTCACATCACTAGAGTACTAACTTTAATTATTATTAAAAAAAAATTTAAAAATTTCTGTATATACAGAGATAATTCACTTGCACTAACCCTTTATACATCAATTTGCATTGCAGTGAGAATCTAAAATAAAACATATTGAATTTTAAATCAAAAGGATCATACAGGTAAATTTATTCTGATTTTAAGAGCTGTCCTTATTACTTCACATGAATAGCTTTTTTTTCTCACTCCTCCCACCAAAAACCTCCTGGAATTACCCTGTATGGCACAAAGTGAGAAGCCAACTGTTGAAATGAACCACATGATCCAAATGTTGAGGCAGCAGCAGATGACTGAGGGCAGGCAGGGAAGAGGGAAGTCCTGCAACCCCCAGATGGGAAACCTCACAAATTCCCCCCAGCTCCACAGGTATCCCTTGGGGTTTTGCAAGAACAGCACCTCTACCCTGGGCAGCATATTTTGTTTTAGAAAATGCTATCATAAAATAACTGGATTTTTCAATTTGCTAAGCTTGAAGATTTCTGGTGCATAGTCCTGACTTTACTGTAATTAATGAAAGGCTTCAATTTTCTGGCTATCATTTTTCCAGCTGACTGAGCCTGTCCCATTAACCAACTTTTTTGGGTTCACCTGCACTGGTCTGCTTGAGAGCAACTATAGGAAGAGCTTCTGCACAGGAGAGGAACCACCAGAGGAGGGGTGGGGGAGAAAATAAAAGCAAAGTCCAGATGCTCATTTCACATGCCCTGGGATCAACGGTGTGTGACTACAGTTTATGTAGGAAGAGCAAAATCGGATTCAGGTCTGGAAACACTTTCAAAGTTCAGGGGGTCTGAGGTGGGGAGAAGCTGGGGGAGGCCTGGCTCATCAGTGCTCTGTGCCTGCCCACACCGCAGGTCAGAGATCTGTGCTACCGAGCAGAAAAAAAAAAAAAAAAAAAAAAAAAAAAAAAAAAAAAAAGGGAGGGGAAAAAAAAAAAAAAAAAAAAAAAAAAAAAGGAACACACACAATTCACTTTTAAATGGATGAATAAGGCCTCATTGTTATGAATCCCAGTTTACTTTTCCTGGTCAGGCACTTGAAATTTTATTTATGCTTAATAGACTGCATTTGGCATGTGTAAAGATGACAGAAGCGTGAATTATGAACGACCTTCGACCTATTCAGGAAGTTGTAATAATTGAAATAATAGCGAAACGCGCTCCCCGCGAGCTCGGCTGGGGCCACGCTCGGCCGCTGAGCCCGTGTGCTTTGAAGCACCCCAGCCATCCCCCTGCCTCTGCCAGCCCCACACCGGCCCTGCCTGGACCCCCCTCTGCTCCCATCAGCAGTCCCCAGAACCAGGAGGGTTAACTGAAGTTAAGGTTTTGGGGGGAAAAGCAGCAACTCAGTCACTGAGTGTGAGCGAAGGCGGGAACTGCCACGCACACGTTTGTGGTGCCCCAAAGAGGAGCTGTGTTCTGGTGCATCCAACTGAACCCTTTATTCCTGCCTACAGCTTGGGAAAGAATTGCACATGCTCCAGAGCTGCCTGGGAAATTCAGATTTTAGGGCAGGCTAGAGATGCCACTCCAAGTCGATGCCATTTGTCTTTTAACCCCCAAACCATGTGCTGAACTCACAGGGGAAGCACCCACGGATCCTGTCCTGCACTGGTGCAAACAGGAGGACCCAGCTTGGGATGGTGGGATGGAGCAGAAGATCCTAAAAGTGGATTGCTCCATGGTGAGCCCCACCAGCACCAATTGCATGGGTGCACATTCCATGGGTACACCCACCCTGAGCAAGGCAGCCTCATCTCCCAACCCCCTTGGGGAATGTGCCCCAAGAGGCAGCATGCATGCTGCCAGCTAGCATCCACCTCCACACTGCTTTGGAGCAAGACTGGAATTTGCTTGAAAAGCCAAACAAATTAAATATCCAAAACTACTAATGAGCGTTATGTCCAAGGAGTTCCATCAAAATCAGGAATTACACCTGACAAATAAATCAGAAGGATGAACAGACACACAACTTCACAACAAGCTCTAATTAGGAGTTTGAAGGGAAAAAAAACAAGAAATAAAAAGGTCCAAATGGTACAGCTTCAATTTTAGCTCTTGTGATGAACAAATTGTGCAGCTGGAGAGCTGTGTGATGAAACTTGAGCCAGGTTCTTTTTCCTATACTTAGGCAAATGACAAATTGAAACAAACTGGAGTTTTTTCAAGGGCCAAGGTAGAGGAGTCCTGCCTGAGAGCTGTACTGGGCCC